TCTGGAACCGCCTGGCAAGCTCATCGGGGCCCCCGGCTGAAAGAGCGGGGAGGGTGGAAGCTGGGCAACAGCCCCTTGACTGCCACCCCTTCTCACGCCTGCCCAAGCGCACCGCCCCCGGGAGGGGCAGACCCCCGCCCAGCCCTGGGAAACACCCGAGGGGCCACGCAGCCCGCCCGCGCTGGCAACCTGGATCCGGATCCGTTGCCACCCGTGCTGCTGGCCCAGGTGTGCCGGCTTGACTGAGGCTGGACCCAGAAAGGCCGCCTCCGCCGTCCACCCCCTTCCCCTCAGGGAGAGGTCCGAGGCAGGTGGGCCTAAGTCTGTCCCGCTCAGAAAACCCAGGGGGAGCCGCTGAGGGGGTTGCGGGGGTGGGGGAAGGTGAGGGATTGGGGCCCTGATGGCTCTTACCTCCAGAGTCCAGGAGCTTGAGTTGATTGGATTTTTCATAGGCAAAGAGGGCCCTGGAGGAGAGAAGAGGAGGTGGACGCCCTTCTGGGTTGGGGGCAGAGATCCTGAGAGACCCCCCCACACACACACACACCCGTGCTGTAAGGAAGGCTCCCCAAGAAACCTCGCCTGCCACGGCATCTCCACGGGCCCTCGGGTGTTCACGGGACAAGGAAGGGCCTCCCAACCCGGGACTTGGAGGGGAACGGTCCCGAGCCCTTGACAGACCCACTCAAGCCTGCCCATCCGCCACCCTGCCCCCCCCAGCTACCAGAGCAGGTGTCCCAGGGCGACGAACCCCCCACACACACACACACTACTCTCCAAGATCCACAGAACGGGAACTGGGCACCACCTCCGTAGAGCCCAAGGGGGTTCCCCAACTCAGTGCTCGATTGTCTGGGTGACACCTGGAAGGGGGGGGGTTGTAGGCCATGCTGCATCCCCTGCTGCAGCTGAGGTGGGCCAAGGTGCAGGCACCGCAGGGAGGTTGGTTACGTCGCTGCATCCAGAGACAGGAAATAACTGGCAGGAGTAGCAGGGACCCTTGGAGTAGCGGGGAGAGGGGCAGTCAGGGTCTGCACACCAGAGAGAGAGAGAGACCCTAATCTCCCGGTCCCTCCAAAGTGCATTGGCCGGGGTGGGATCTCCAGAGGGAGACGGGGATGAAAGCAGAACCAGCAGGGCTACTGGGCTTCTTCCCCCCCCCCAACTCTCTCTCTCTCTCTCTCTCTCTCTCTTCCAGCCCCAGCCGCTGAGCCCCATCCTGGTCCTCCCCC